TCTGGCCAAATGAAAAATTTGCTAGTTTTCTAGATCTATACTCCACAACCAAACACATTGAATACTTCACGATGATCGTTTCGCGATCATCGTGAAGTATTCACGATGATCGCGATTGATCACGATTGAATACTTCACGATGATCGTTTCGCGATCATCGTGAAGTATTCAATGTGTTTGCCTTAGCAATAATATATTTCTGTTCCTAACAAAGTTTGAGACTAGAGATCGGCTAAATGTTAAGATTTTCTAGACCACATCCAAACCTTTCTCTAGGTAATGGTTTGCTTCAACATGACAATCAATTAATATGTGTATTTGGAGTAACTGACGATATTTTATCTATCAGGTATAGATACATATATATATATTATTTTTTCAATGAAGCTACTTCATGAAAATATAATTGAATAAAAGTTGCTAGTGACCTGTCAGATCTGAAAATCGTAAATGGTTTGGAAAATTGAATAGAGCTGGCCGATACTTGATGAAAAGTCATATCAAAAATACTAATACAGGTCAATGTGAGATTTACATCATGTACGGTAACAAAAACGCGACACGTGTATTACTTGGGGAAGATATGGTATAACGAAACAGGTGTTTCGTAAACTCATGATGAAATTTTACTAGTAAGTGATGAAATTGGTTTCCTTATGGTCGTAACAGATAGCTAAGTATGAACGGAAGTGAAGAACACAAAACTAGAGAATTTGAAATAACCTGTTTACCAGTCCCAACGACTCTAAATCTGTCTGATCAGTAGCTCAAGCCTTCAGTCAAAGTCTCATAAGTCTACAATTTTAACACAAGCGAATTATTGAGGAACAACACTAGTGAAGAAGAAGACAAATTTCCTTGCAATAACTCTGTTTCTAGGAATATTATTGGAGTTTTTTCCCTAAAACCAAATCGTTATTTTTAACACCTCGACACGTGTTTCGATCACCAAGTGATCATCTACAAGAGGAAGATTAAACTAGAAACTAACGCGAAGCTAACGCTATTTGTCAAAAACAGTCGAGAATTCGGAAAAGTCTGGAATTTACGAAATTGAATGTAAGGACTGCGATGCAAAATATTATGGACAGACAAAAAGATCACTTGAAATATGGAAGACCTGAAAAATCAGCAGTTGCCTATCATATTTTGCAACAAAACCATTTCATAGAGTTCAGTTCATTAAGATTAGTTAGACAAGTTAACAACAACAGGCAACTAGATGTCTATGAGAGTGTAGAAATAAGTAAATATAATGATATTATGAATAACGATAACGGACCAATACCAAATAGCATACTATATAGCTTGTTAAAATAATATTGTTGGGTTTACTGATTACTACAAAAAGACACATTGTAAATATATTTAGATAGGCAATATTGTGAAACTAATTTTATATAGCTGAAAATTGTTCTATATATAGCTGTAACATTTAAACATACATAAGGACAT